GCCGCCAGCGCCGCAGGATGGCGGGGAGGGCGGCCGCCCCGGGCACCGCGGTCCTGCTGGTCACGGCCAACGTGGGCTCGCTCTTCGACGACGTAAGTGCCGCCGCCGTCGGGCCATGGCCGTGGGTAGGGCGGGCGGGACCGGACCCCGATTCCCGGAATGCCGGAGCCCCGAACCCGCAGCCCTGGAACTCCGGTCCCAGGCACCCGGACCTCGGAACCCTGGGTCCCCGGAACGCTGGTCCCTTACACCCCAAGCCCCGGACCCGGAGCCCTGGAATCCCGGTCCGAGGGACCTGGACCTTGAAACCGTGGTGACCTGGAACCCTGGTCCCTTATACCCTAAGCCCCGGACCCGGAGCCCTGGAATCCCGGTCCCAGGGACCTGGACCTCGAAACCGTGGTGACCCGGAATCCTCGTGCCCGCACCCCAGAAGCTCAGAGCCCTGATTCCCTTGATTCCGGACTCCAGGTCCCTCAAGACGTTAAACCCCGGACCCCAGGCCCGGAACCCTGAAACACTGGACCCCGACCCCTGAACCCAGAAGCACAGGTCCCTGAAACCTAGATCCGAACTCCGTCACCCTGGTCCCTCGGACCCCTAACCACAGTTCTGACCCTAGAACCCTGGAACCAGGAACCCGGGAACACCAGTCTCCCGGCCCGACCCCCAGGGCCAATCCCTGAACCCCACCCCCGGAACTCCTGATCCCCGGAACACCGGCCCTCCAGAATCCTGACCCTGGAACCCTGCTCCTGGAACTCCGAATCAGCAACCCTGGAACCCTCTCCCTGAATTCTAGCTCTCCAAACCCCACAACACTGAACTGTTCTGAACTCCACGCCTGGCTCCCAAGCACCAAATGTGATCCTAAACCCTAAGCCTAACACCTGTCCCTGAACCCCTGGCCCCAGCTGTGACCCTCAAACCTAAAACCTTGACCCCAAACTCTGACCCTAGGTCCTTGATCTTGGATCCCTAATCCTGGCACTGGAACCCCAGTCCAGGCCCTGGAACTCTGGACCCCACCCTCGCCCAGAACAGACCCGGCCTCTGATCCTGGCCTTCATCCCCTGGTCCATGCCTGCCCCGGTGCACACGTGCCCTGGTGCCTGCTTCCCACACTGTCATCTGTCTTCCAGGAGCAGTCCTGGAGGGGCAGAGCCCCATCTGTCTGCTAACTTAGGATCTCTTTAGTTCTCAAACAAGGGAGACTAGGGAAAGCTGGGAGGAGGACTTTGTATTCTTGTTTATGGAAGAAAAAGATGCTCGGAAACTCTTCAAGGCCATCAGCGGGTACTGACTGCCTTTACCTTCTAGAGCCCCTCCCTCCAAGTCCCAGATCCCAGCCAGGAAGGCTGGGCAGCCTTGGGCAAGGGGAGGGGGGCGCTCCCTAGCTGTCTCTCTGGAGACCACCGAGGCCCAGGGCGCGCTGGAGCTCCCCAGAGGCAGGCCGAAGCTGACCTAGTTCAGCGTCTGGTGCCGCCCGGCTGTTGGTACTTAAACAGCCAAGGCAAATGAAGCTCCAAAAGGCATGCTTCTGGGGGGAAGAGAGGGTAGCGGCACCTACGGGGCTTGGGCAGCCCCTTTCCCTCCGCCTTCCCGAGGTGAACCCCTTTGGGGCAGCGCTGGTTTCATGATGTGTGCAGCTGATACAGGCGTGATTTAGATTTTAGGAGAATGTCCTTATTTCTTGCTGAGCTTTTCTTTGCCTGCAGCATCGGGGTGAAGTGTTTCATTAGGCCAAGTTTGTGCACAGACTGGGGTTTTTTTTTTTAATAAAAGCTGGACGCCAGCTTTGTTACTTTCTTACTTTAGCTTCCAGGCGCCCTGTTCCTTGTCTGTCGGAGGTGAACTGCTGTCTCTGACTTTGTTATGCACAGCTTGATCTAGTTTCACGTTTGATTGTTTTCTACACAAGTGCCTGCCCTGGGTGTGTGTCTGTATATTTAGCATTCTATTCTAGGCTTTCCAGTAATATGTCACTATAACATGGTTTTGCTCAGATGATTCAGATCTGTTAGCTGCGGCTTCAAAACCTCAGAAATGTCAGGAAAATTAAGCATGGTGGAGCGTTTTATTCTCAAAGGAAAAAGAATTTTGCTGTGCAAACGTTCTTTCCAGTAATCTTTGATTCTAAGTTACAGCATTTTTGTTGTGTTTCCACTGTACACACAAATTTCTCTCTGTTGACATTAAAATGCCTAAATTAATTTACTTTTGTTTAGTAACGTTTTCCCTCTGAGTTCTCATTTTTCTTAAAGGTTATGTGGAATTTTGCATGATGTTTACATCTGAAAGGAGCATTTGTTTTGGTAACGGCGCATAGGTTAATTCTGCAAGGCATCTTCGGACTTAAAGGCTAGTGTAGGCAGTTCCTGCCTACACTGAGCTTGTGGGGCTCAGTTGGGAGGGGCCGGGGGCCACCCCCTTACCGTGACCTGGTGAAGTGTGGCCCCAAACGGGGAAGCAGAGGGTTGGGCTGCAACCAGCCCCTCATTCTGCCCTGGGGATGGAAGCCTGGCAGGTGACAGCAGCTACTTCTGGAGCAAGAGAGATTTTAATTATTTAGTTTATGGTAGATTTCAGCAGATGAGTGTGGTGACCCCGTTTCCCTTTGCACGCTGTGTTCCTCTGCTGTCTTTAGGTGGTGGTGAGGCCTGGGAAGGAACTCCTTCCTGCCCGGTTTCATCGCCTAGCAAAGCAAGCTTTCCTATGTGATCTCTGCATTATCCCCGTCCTAGAGGGGTAAGGTTCCGAGGAAGAGAGTGTTTGAGTTTGAAACAAACAGGCAGTGCTGTCAAGGACACTGTTTTCCTGCTTTGCACAAGGAGTAGGTTTCTGCTTTCATAGTTTTGAAAGTCTTCCCTCGGAGGCTTCCCCTTCCCCATCCACGCGTGGTTTCTTCCTCACACCCTGGGATTGACAGCGTCTGCTTTGGTGGGGTTCCCTTGCTCTTCAGTCCTCCTGGCTTCGCAGTGTGCCCTGGAATGGCAGTGCTACAGTTCTCTTAGCCGTCCTGTTGGGGGGCATCAGGTTGCTTCGAACCTTCAATACTGCAGACACTGTTGTGGAAAATATTTTAGCACAGTGCTTCTCGACTTTTGTGATCTCTTCTGTTCTTAAAAATTAGGGTGGTTTATGTAGGTTATGGAGTCCCTGGGTGGTGCAAATAGCTAATGTGCTTGGTGGTTAACTGAAAGGTTGGCAGTTTGAGTCCACCTAGAGGTGCCTCGGAAGAAAGGCCCGGTGACCTCCTTCTGAAAAATCAGTCATTGAAAACCCTACAGAGCACAGTTCTACTCTGACACATGTGGGATCACTATGAGTTGGGGTCAACTTGACGGCATCTGTTTTTTGAATGTAAGTCCTGTCAATATTTGCCGTGTTAGAAGTGAGAACTGAGAAAGTTTTAAGCCACAGGAACACGCAGACACTCATCGAGCTAGCCATCCAAGTGATGATATCGTCACTTATCTTGATCCTCTGGAAAGCTCCGCTGTCCACTCGGGAGAATGAGAGTGGAAAGGGGAGTAATTTCACAGGATTCTTGTGAAGAGGTCTTGGGGCCCTTGAAGACCCTCAGCCCCCTCTTAGAACCTCTGAGTTCCTGATCCTTCCTGGACCTGCGTGAGCCCTCCCCTTGGCCGGGGCATCTGGTGCTGTTCCAGTTTTATCGCAGATGCCACGTTGCCCTCAGGAGGCTGTGTGACATTGCTGTGTGGCCCTTCTTGACTCACAGGTCAGACCTGTGCTGTCGTTTGCTTGGAAAGGTGTGGCCAGGGGCGCATGCTGATAGTTTGCTTCAGACAGCTGGATCTGTGACATGGAGGGTTCTGGCGTTGGCTCTTTAGGTTTCCATTAAGTGCACTGAAAGGTGAACTTGGGAGGCCGTGGTTTCGGGCGCGGCATATGTTCCCGCCCTTACATGGTCAGGCCGTTCTTCGGGGAGAGGATTCTGGGAAACAGTTCAGTCTTGGGTGTGTGCCTGTCGGTTCTTTGTCCTGCTCACAACCAGAGCTGAGTGTCAGTTGTGAGCTGGTTTCCCTGTGCTTAGTCAGCCCTTAGCCTCTCCCCTACCCAGACCTGGGGAGCGCACCGCAGTTGTTACAGTGGGCTTGGCCTGGGTACTCTAGCCCAGGGAGCGTGTGCGGTCAGCTGGCTTATGAGAACCTAATTTGTGTCGGTGTTGGGGACAGAGACCAGACCAGACCTGCTTGTGGGGCATGGAAGGAGGCAGTGGGGTGTGTCAGCATCAGACAGGCTACGCCTTCTCCCGCTGGACAGCCTTGAGCCTCGCCTCCCCTCTCGTCCCCTGGCGACCCCTCTAGCCGACGCTCAGCTTCCTGACTGCCCTAGCACACGTCTTGAAAGGGGGTCTCGAGCTCTGTCCTCAAGCCCTTCTCGCAGGCACCAGCCCAGCATTCCACCCCTAGATCCTGTCCATGGGGGACGGTCCTGCTGCCAGCTCCAGTAGGGCCGCTGTGGTGCCTGGGCCCTTGACTTCCTCAAGGACCGATGGGCAGCAGCTTAGTTGAGATGTAATTCACACATCACACAGTGTGCCCGTCCGAGGCTTTTATTGTGTTCTCACAGCTCTGCAGCCATCGGCATGTTGGTTTGAGAACATTTTTATTACCCTGAAAAGAGACACACACCCGTTAGGCGCCACCCCCCAGCTCCCTGTCCCCCTGCCCCCACAGCCCCAGCAACTGCTCGTCTACTTTCTGTCTCTGTGACTTTGTCTGTTCTGGACTTGCCACACAAATGGACACGTGTGGTCTGTCCTTGTGGTATAGCGTGTATCTGTGCTTCATTCCTTTTTATGACTGAGTAACGTTCCACTGTGTGGATGGACGATGCTTTGTCTATTCCTCATCAGTTGAGGGAGCCCTGGTGGCACAGAGGTTAAGAGCTCGGCTGCTAACCAAAAGGTTGGTAGCTCGAATCCACCAGCCCTCCTTGGAAGCCCTGTGGGACAGTTCTACTCTGTCCTACAGGGTTGCTGTGAGTTGGAGTCGATCCGATGACAGCGGGTTTGGTTTCATCAGTTGAGGGCTCTCTGGGTTGTTTCCACCTTTGGGGTATTGGC